CAACCCCAAACCAGCCACAGGCACCCCCAAACCCAGGGAAAATCCCAGAGTGGGGTGGGGAGAGCCAACAGGGAAGCACCTGGGCAGCTCCGAGCCCCGCTGGGGTGATTCTCCCTTGCTTGGTGGATCTCCCTGACCCAGGCACCTCCAGGATGGGCACGGAGGTGCCAATGCCTGCAGAACTCCGATGGATCCTCGCTGGAGGGGCCAGGCAGGGTTTGGGTTACCTCAATCCCACTGTCACCAGCCCAGCTCTTCCCAAAAGTCGTTCCTGACACAACTTCCCTTCATTAGAGCTTCAAGGCGGATGCGGCGCTAATCAGGAAAACCTTGATATTCTGCAGGAGCCTTAAGCCCTGAAAGGGAAGGGGAAAAAATCCCACGCTCGCTTTGCAGCGCTTTCATTGCGCTTTGAGGTTAATGGAAGGCTAATTTGAAAGGACTCGGTTAATGAGAAAGCTAAAAATATTCCTCCCCTACATTGCAGCCCCTTCCTCCGTGCGCCAGAGGCTGCCAATGATGCTCCCTGAGCCCAGGGACGCCGTGTCCCTCACCTGACCCCCGTCCCCACCCTGGGGACATCACCATGGAGGGATGTGGTGGCTCGGTGGCATCTCCAGCAGGGACGTGTCCCTGCACCGCTGAGCTCGTGCTGTGACTCCCTGGGAAGGGGTGGGTGGGGGAGACTCCAGTGGGGCTGGGACAGGGATGGGGACACCTGGGGCTGGCAGCCACATCTTCCCCTCCCAGGGGCTCAGAAAGCTCCTCCACCCTCCGGGTGCTCATGGACTCATCCCTCCTCCTGAGCATCATTTCCAGGGTAGATCTGACGATGCTCCTGCAGGAAGGGATCGGTTTTAATGGCAAAGATGGAAACTCGAGGGGATTTTCCGGCTGTGGCAGGTCGGGGCTGGCTCTGCTCCATCCCTGCCTCTTCCTCGCATGGCCATGGCAGCTGGATTCCAGCTTGCCACCGGTGAGACTGGACCAGCTCCAGGCTTGGCAGTGCCATGGGGGGCTGGGAGGGGCACACCCCATATCCCGGGATATCCCACATCCCATAGCCCCGTCGCCTTCCCGGCGCTCCCCCCTCACACGCAGCCACTCGGGATGTGCTTGAATTAGGGAATGATGTGCACGGAAAATCACTCCTTCCTGCGCCTCCAGAGCTCGTGGCTCTGCTCCAAACCAGCAGAAAATCACCCGGCTCTGAGGACAATTCCTGGAGATTTTCTGCAGCTGCTGGTTGGGAGCAGCGCCGTGGCCACAGGGGCGGAGGGTGGCACCGAGTGCTCGGAGTGCCACCAGTGCCATCCCAAAGGAGCCACACTCCCTGCACCCCCAAAATAAAAAAAGGGAGAACTGGGGGAGCCCTGGGAGCTGCCTGGGCAGCGCTGGGATGTGGGAACAGCCCTGGGACCCCTGGGAGAGTCTGGGACACGCTGGGATGTGAGATGCCCAGAGAAGCTGGGAAATGCTGTGTCACGCCAGGAGACGCTGGGACAACTGGCGACACGCCAGGAATTCCTCATCCATCGGCAGAAGCAGCAGCCAGCAGCGGGTGGCTGTGCCCACACCCCTGGAATTCTCCTCTCCAAAGCCCCCCCAAAAGCTTTATCACAAAACGGGGATGGGAAGGGCAGGGCTGGATTTTCTCCCTGGAATAATCCAGGAGATTTTCATTCCCTTTCCACAGTGCCACATGAAAGGGTTTGTGTTCTCCTCAGTGGAGAGAAGCTGCACTTCCACCTCCCTTCCCTGCTCCTCCAGGGACAGATCCCACATTTCCCCTGGAGGGGGGCCAGGCCTTTACCTTCCCCTTCCCGGGCAATTAGGAAAAATTCCGGGGGTGGCACGGGGAGATCCAGGGAGGGGAAGGCACTGGGGCTCCCCGATCCCATTGATGGTTCAATTTTCCTTGGGAGAAGTAAAGCAGCAGGGAATTGTGGCAGAAGGGGCTGATCAGGGCAGCTTGGGCTCCTGTTCCAGCCATTCCCCAGGGACCCAATATAAAAATGTTTCCTCTCATTGGGAAATTGTAGAACAATTGTAGAACCAGCAAAGACAGGCAGGAATTTGTGTTTTAATCCAAGTCCTGTGCCCTCAGTCCCTGAGCCTCATCCAGTGAAGTCCCCAAGTCCTGTGCCACAACGTCCCCAAGATCAGATTCAGGATGCCCCAAGCCCTGTGTGCCACTGTGTTGGTCCTTGTGCCACAATGTCCCCAAGCCCTGTGCCACAACACTCCCAAACCCCATCCCTCAATGGCCCTGTGCCAGCTCCACCCTGTTTATCCAGAGCTGTGAGCATCCCACTCCCCAAAAACCTGCTGGTGACACCCCAAGGTCCTGGCAGGGCTATAAATATCTGCTTTGGGTCCAGTTTGAAGGTTGGATTAAAAATAAAAGAAGGAGTGAAAAAAAATACCCCTGGGACCAGCAGTCCCCTCTGTGGGGTCACAGTGTCCCAGGTCACCAGGACAGCCACCTGTCCCCATCCCTGTTCCAATCTGGAGCCTAATTAGGATCAAACAAACCCTCCCCCCTGCAGAGAACTGTCCCCAGATGAGCAATGCAGAGGCACCCAAATTAAGTTATTTTCTTGCCCTGTTTTGTTCCAGTTTTTAATTAGGTGGCTGCTGAGATGTGATGTGGCCCCATGTAATGGTGTCACTGTGATTTATTAGGGCTGGAGTTACTGTCACCCTCCAACCTCCTTGCCTCTGGTCACTGACGGGGTCCCTGTCCCCATCCCTCTGGTGGGGACACCTCTTGCCACCTTCCCAGGAAAGAGAAACCTGCTACAAACAGAGGGTTCTTTTTTAAAATAACACAAAAAAATCCCCCAGAAAAGAACAGAAAGTATTCTGTGCCTTCTTTTTAAATAATTCAAATGTGTTTTCCAGCAGAGCCCGGATGCTGGCAGCGGTGGGGACAGCGACACGTCCCCAAAGGGCACAGGGGATGTTCCTGAGCTGCCAGACGGGAGGCGCCGGGGCCGGGCCAGCTGCCAGCGCCTGGCTGCGGGGACAGTCCGGGGACAATCCTGGGACAAACCTGGGACAATCCCGGTACAATCCCAGCACAATCCTGCCGCAATCCCGGCACAATCCAGCCACAATCCCGCCACAATCCTGCCACAATCCCGGCACAATCCTGCCACAATCCCGGCACAATCCTGCCACAATCCTGCCGCAATCCCAGCACAATCCCGGCACAATCCTGCCACAATCCCGGCACAAACCCGGCACAATCCCAGCACAATCCCGGCACAATCCTGCCACAATCCTGCCACAATCCTGCCACAATCCTGCCACAATCCTGCCACAATCCTGCCACAATCCTGCCACAATCCCGGCACAATCCTGCCACAATCCTGCCACAATCCCGGCACAATCCTGGGACAATCCTGGAAGCTGCAGGAGTGATGTGCAGGTACCTGTGACAACTTTGCACGGCCAAATTGCCTCTAACGGGGAAAAAGAGGGAAAATCCAAGGGGATTTCCCAGCTAGGAGGTGGCCGTGCTGGGGAGAGCCGTGTGTTTTGGGAGAGGCCCTGGCAGTGCCACTGGGATGCCAGGATGTGTCACCAGAGCCCTGCCTAAGGCCAGCAGGGATCCAGGCTGGGATGTCCCGGCCCCCGGGAGGTTTTGGGGATGTTTTCCCAGCCCAAGCAGGATGCTGAGGCTGGATCATCTCTCCTGCAGCACCGAGGATTCCTCAGCTCTCCCCCGAGCCTGCCCGGTGCTGCCACCTCCAGCCCTGCTCCGATGATGGATGATCCAAGCCCCAGGGACTGGGGAGCAGGAGGGTTTGAGCTGTTCCTTTAGGGCAGGAAAAGCCTCCCAGGGAGCTCTGGGGGCAGAGGCAGGGCAGGAGCAGGGGGAGAAGGGCTGGGAATGAGCTCCAGGTCGGATCCAGGAGGTCCCATGGGTCATCCCCTCACCTTGACCCTGCCTCTGCTGATGGAGCAAGACGGGTGATGGATGATGGGATCCTGGAGTCATGGGATGTTTGGGGTTGGAGAGGCTTTAAAGGTTATCCCGTTCCAGCCCTGTGGTGGGCAGGGACATCTCCCACTGCCCCAGGCTGCTCCAAGCCCATCCAGCCTGTCCCAGAGATCTGGGATCACCAGGACAGACGGTCCCCAAGGCTGGGCTGGGCCTGGGATCCCCCTGAGCATCCAGGAGGGGAATGGGAAGGGAAGGGAAGGGAAGGGAAGGGAAGGGAAGGGAAGGGAAGGGAAGGGAAGGGAAGGGAAGGGAAGGGAAGGGAAGGGAAGGGAAGGGAAGGGAAGGGAAGGGAAGGGAAGGGAAGGGAAGGGAAGGGAAGGGAAGGGAAGGGAAGGGAAGGGAAGGGAAGGGAAGGGAAGGGAAGGGAAGGGAAGGGAAGGGAAGGGAAGGGAAGGGAAGGGAAGGGAAGGGAAGGGAAGGGAAGGGAAGGGAAGGGAAGGGAAGGGAAGGGAAGGGAAGGGAAGGGAAGGGAAGGGAAGGGAAGGGAAGGGAAGGGAAGGGAAGGGAAGGGAAGGGCACTCTCAGCGCTTCATTTGAGTTCATTCCCTGTCTGTGATCCCTGGCTTTTAGCAGCTCAGGGAAGACAACATGTTAAGAATTTATTTTATTTTTTTTTTAATTGCCAGATTCTCTTTAATTTTGTGATGAAATGAGTTGGAGTGTGAGGAATGGCACGATAATTCATCCTGAAGGTGTTGGGCACCATGCCAGGAGGATCTTCTTCCTGCAGTGAGGAAACTTCATTTTAAAATTGTTTCTTTTAGAGTTTCTTTTTTTCTTTTTGTAACAGTTGTTATTTTAACACAGAGGCCATCAAGTTCTGAGCAGCGAAAGCCTCTCTGAACTTCCCACCATGTGAGTGTCTTCCAATGACCAGGGAAACACTTGACCCCCTCACTTCCTTTTCCCATTCTGATATTTTAACCCAGAATTATTTTATCACCCACTGCCACAAAAAAAATTAAATTAAAAGAAAAAAAAAAGGAAGTGCCTAAGTAGTCATTTATTAACATTTATAAGTATCATTAGGTAGAAAGATGTGGTAAAATATAGATTAGAGCGGGAAGAGCGGAGGATCCGAGTGCCATTTTTCCTGTTCAGCGTTGTCATTACACATCGCGGCGTGCCGGATCACAGCCATGATTAGTGGCATCAAATGACTCCTGAAAAATGATTATGTGCCATTAAAACCATCAGTCTGCCTGCAACCAGCACAAACAAATGGCCGTGCCGGGCATGAGGCAGCAGCTCCGGGGCTGGGGGATGTGACGGGAATCCCGGAGCCACGGCGGGTGTGGGGTGTGGGGGGCTGGGGTGGGGTGGCAATGGCAGCCAGGGGTCCTGGGGGGGTCCTGGGGGGGTCCTGGTGGCAAATGGCTCCCCCCACAGCAGGCTGTGCTTGTGGGGTGCCCCTGCTCCAGCTCCCTCTTTCCCTTTCAGCAGCTGAAGTTCCACAGTGTGGCCCGGGCAATCCCCTCACGGGGGAAAAGGCCTCCCTGCAAGGGCTCCAGCACCCCAAACCATCACCCCAAACCATTATCCCAACCTACTGCCCCACCCAAACACGTCCCCCCAGATCCATCACCCCATTCCATAACCCCAACCCATAACCCCAATTACTCATCCAAACCCATCACCCCATTCCATAACCCCAAACCCATCATCCCCAATCCATCGCGCCTAATTCATCACCCCAAATCCACCACCCCATCTCCATAACCCAAATCAACAACCCCAAACCCATAATCTCAAATCCACTACCCCATCTGCATAACTCCAACCAATGACCCCAAACCCATCGCCCCAAATCCACCACCCCATCTCCAAATGACCCCAACCAATGACCCCAAATCCACCACCCCATCTCCATAACCCAAACCCATCACCCCAAATCCACCACCCTATCTCCATAACCTCAACCAATGACCCCAAACCCATAATCTCAAATCCACCACCCCATCACCATAACCCCAACCAATTACCCCAAATCCACCACCCCATCTCCATAACCCAAATCAACAACCCCAAACCCATCACCCCAAATCCACCACCCCAATCTCCATAACCCCAACGTACGACCCCAGCCCATCGCCCCACCCCAGCCCTGTGCCTGCACCCCCAGCCCCCCGCAGCCTTTCCCTCGCTGCCGTTCCCCCTTCCCGGGGACACAAATCCAGTTCGTCCGTCCAGGGAGGTGAAACCCGAATGTCCCATCTGCCACACGGCTCAATCCCGGCTATTGATTGTCGCGGAGAATATTCGCACTTCATTCACCTCCTTAGTCCCTTCCCCCAGGCACACAGGAATTCATCAAACCTTGTCACACCACATAATAATGCTCCTTCCCAGGTGTTGTCGCAGCAGCTCAGACTTTCTCCAGCCTTCCTGGGCAAGCAGGAATTTAGGGAAGAAAGGATTCGCCAGCAGAATAAATGTGACGTGCTGAGATGCGAATTAACCCTGTGGCAGCCCAGGGAGGGCTCGACCCCCTCCCCGTGCCCATGCAGAGGCTGCTCAGGCTTTGTTTCCAACTCCTCGGGGGTTTTGGTGACGGGAATGAAATTAAGTTGGGGAGAAAAGACGTTTTCCCATTGTTTGGAGCCTTTTATTGACGTGTCTGCACTGCCTTTGAACCCTTTGGAGCAGAGCAGGGACGTGGCTGCTCCCCTTCTCCAGAGGGGAACCTGGAAGGGAAGGAAATGCAGCGGGGAAGGAGATTTGGGGGAGAAGGAAAGGCTGGGTGAGGATGGGGGGGGGGTCCCTGCAGGGCTGCTGGGGCTGGGGGGCTGCGAGACCTCATTGGGGTGAGCAGGATGCTGATGGGCCCCAAAAGGGACGCGCAGAAAGGGGCAGGGTCACACTGGCACATCTGGTGTCATTGTCCCCAACCCCAGAGCTCTTCCCAGTGTCCCCTGTCCCCGCAGCACGCGGGTGGTGGCAGTCACCAGCCCTCCTTCTGGCTGAGACAAACGGCAGGCAGGAGCTGCTGCCCCCGGGCCACGTTTATTATTCATATTATTTGTGTGCTGATCTGACTCCGTGTAATGATTTAATCTGTTAATGGCCCCCGATTCAATCGCTCCTCTCTCGTTAATCTCCTCTTGCTATTTGCACCTGATTTCCTGATTTTTCTGACGCTGTTTTGGCAGCTGAGGGTCGGGTTTGCAGCTTTCCACGGGCACGGTGCCACGGCGGGTCACGCAGGGGCTGTGACAGGATTCTGCAGAGCCACGGATGGGAGGGGGAGGAGGAGGAGGAGGAGGAGGAGGCGGCAGCAGATCCCTCCCAAGGGAAAACTCCTGAGGCTGCTCAAACCTGGGGATCCAGTGGGCTTCAGGGCAGGTCCCAGCTCCAGCACCATCCCTGGACACAAAGGGGCCTTGGGGTGTCGGTGCTGGGTGGGAGAAGCTGTTTTCCTCCTGGGAAAGCTCCTGGCACGCCAGTGTGCGTCCCATCCCAGTGACAGGGGGATGCTGGTCCCTGCATCCCACCCCAGTGACAGAACAGTCCCTGCATCCCATCCCAGTGTCAGAAGGGTCCCTGCATCCCATCCCAGTGTCAGAAGGGTCCCTGCATCCCACCCCAGTGACAGAAGGGTCCCTGTGTCCCACCCCAGTGACAGGGTGGTCCCTGTGTCCCATCTCAGTGACAGGGTGGTCCCTGTGTCCCACCCCAGTGACAGAACAGTCCCTGTGTCCCACCCCAGTGACAGAAGGGTCCCTGTGTCCCACCCCAGTGACAGAACAGTCCCTGTGTCCCACTCCAGTGACAGAACAGTCCCTGCATCCCATCCCAGTGTCAGGGTGATGCTGGTCCCTGCATCCCACCCCAGTGACAGGGTGGTCCCTGTGTCCCATCCCAGTGTCAGGGTGGTCCCTGTGTCCCATCTCAGTGACAGAACAGTCCCTGTGTCCCACCCCAGTGTCAGAAGGGTCCCTGTGTCCCACCCCAGTGACAGGGTGGTCCCTGTGTCCCATCCCAGTGACAGGGTGGTCCCTGTGTCCCATCCCAGTGTCAGGGTGATCCCTGTGTCCCACCCCAGTGTCAGGGTGACGCTGGTCCCTGTGTCCCACCCCAGCGACACGGCTGTGCTCGTCCCCTGCCTGTGCCATTGCCATTCCCCCCTCGCGCCGCCAGCCTGGCGGCTGATTTATGGGATCGCTGATTTATGGGAGCACCAGGATGCAATCAAGGCCGCGGCCCCGAGGACTCGGACCGGGAGGCGGCGGCGGCGGATGCCGATGGGGAGCGGGGCGGTGGCGGGGCCCGCCGGGAAGATGGATCTCTGCTCCTGCGCCTGGAGCTGCTCCGGGCAGGGCTGGAGGAGCGGGATGTGCTCCCGCTAATGGGCAGGCGGTGTCAGGAGAGGGGACGCGCTGCATCCATAACGCCGCTGACAAATGCCATCCCTCCGGGAAGGGCCTCCGAGGCGATGCAAATATCTCCGAGGCGATGCAAATATCTCCCTGCAAAGACAACAGCGGCGTGCGGGTGACAGGATTTGGCACCCGCTCCTGGGAAGGCGCCAGAGCTGTACTCCCTCTCCTCTGGGGAGCCCTGGGCACCCCGATTTCCCCTCGCTCCCATCACCCCATCCCCAGCAGCGATTCCCGGCTCCTCTCCTCCGACACGAGCGGATTTTGGGAAGCAGCGGGTGGCGAGGGAGTACAGCTGCCGCTAAGTTATCCAAACGATTTATCTTAAGATTCATCCAGAATTCATGGCGCGGGAGCCCGGGCCGTGTCGCCGTTAATATTCATGCGGATTTGGAGCAGCGTTAATCACGGCCGCTGACAATTGGCACTTCCCTTAATTGCTCTGCCCGCCGCCCCCCCGGGATGGGTGTACGGTCACCGAATGTCCCCACCCGGCTTTTTGTCCCCGTCTGGGTGTGGCACGAGAGGCTGGTCCCCAAATGTCCGCTCGGAGCATCCCCAGCGCCCCGGGCTGAGCATCGCTGCGCCCAGAGCCCAGCTCGGGGGTCTGGCACATCCCCGGGGGCTGTCGCTGTCACATCCCCGGAGCTGTCGCTGTCACATCCCCGGGGCTGTCGCTGTCACATCCCCGCGCGGGGACACGGATCTGCATCCCGCTGGAGCCGTGTCCTCGCTGTCCCCTGGATCCTGAGAGCCACCCCCGCGCTCTCCCCATCCTCCCGTGCCTCATCCCACCGTGGGGACACGCGTGTGGCTGCCAGCAGAGCTGTGTCCCCGCTGTGCCCGTGGCTGCTGGAGCGTCCCCAGCACCGCGGGCCGGGCGGTCCTGGAGCAGCTCCCACCCCCTTCCCGGTGCCCTCCCGGTGCCCTCCCGGTCCTCCCCGGCACATCCCGGCCTGGAGCCGTGTCCGGAGCCCGGCGGGGCTGTGGCCTGGCTGCCAACCCGCCGGCTGTCGCCGTGGCCGTGGCTGGCGTTACCTGTCACCGCTGTCATTCCGCTGCCACCCGCCAGCTGCCGCGGCGCGCCCGCCGAATGCCAATGAGGATCCCCGAGCCGAGAGGCACCCCGGGCATGGGGGACAGCGTGTGACACGGGCAGGGGTGGCAGCTGCCCCCAGCGAGGCGCTGAGACCCCCGGTGACAGCCAGCGAGGTGGCACACGGCGGTGTCACCAGCACGCACAGCCTCCCTGTCCCCTGGCTGGACACAGCCCTGAGGTCACTCTTGGGGCCGTGCACCCCAAAAGCATCTCCGGGGGGCTGAGACCCTCCCCCCATCCCATCCACCCCCCCCCGCAGAGCCAAAATAATCCCAAAAACCCCTCAAACCCCGCCCCAAAGCCGGGTGCCCCTCTCGCCGCTGCGGCTCTGGGCGGGTTTCAGCTGTCCGCGCGCTCTAATTGTCCTAATTAGATCGCCAGGTTTTGATGAAGGTTTCACAAGGAACCAGAAAGCGGCAGGCAGGAGGAGATAATGGAATCGCAGATGACATTCCCATCACCCAGCCTCTCCCACCGCCGCCGCTGCAGCCCGCTCGGAAAATTATGCGTAAGGGGGGAGGAAAATTACCATAATCTTCCTCTGCAGGATGAGCCCAAATTCGGCTGGAGCCGAGAGGGGTGACAGGGAGCTGCTCTGTCCTCAGCCGGCAGTGCCACCGCGGTGTCACCCACCCGTGTCACACGCCGCCCGCTCTGCGTGCCGTGGTGCCAGCACCCACCGGGGCCCGGTCTGTGCCCGCCTGGCACTGCCCACCCACGGCAGCCCCACGGTGGGTGGGGGCTCCCTGCACCCCACCAGGCCCTGGACGTGTCTGGTGTCATCACTGGGTCACTATTGGTGACCCCGGTGGGTTTGGGGACATTGGGGGACATGTGAGGGACACACAGCACCTCACAGAAGGGCACAGAGGGGGACATTGGGGTGTCACCCCCTGGCTCCAGCTTCTCCCACCCCCCAAAACAATTGGAGGCAAAGCAGGAGCCGCTCCCCATCCGGCTGCTGCTCCTGGCTCCGGTCTGGGTGCTCTGCCCGGGCAGGATCCGGCCCAGCCCATCCCTAATTCAGAAATATCTCTGTATTCCAGAGCTTCCAGCAGGAAAACTCCCAGCCCGGTTATCCTTCTTCCCCTGCTCTGGCCACGCCATGGTGCCAACTCCAAACCCCCAGCCCTGTGCTCCCCCTTCTCCAAATTTGTTGCCTCATTTCCAGGGCATTTCCATGAAAACAGGCGCTTTGTTTCTTGGGATTCTGCTCTGCCCCTGCTGCCTGTTCCCCCACAGCCTTTGTCCTCCACAAGCAGGGAACAAAGGGGGAAGAGACAGGAAAACACCACAGAGCCTCCAAACGGGCTGGTTTGGGCCCCAAATTGCCCAAACGGGCTGGTTTGGGCCCCAGATTGCCCAAATGGGCTGGTTTGGGCCCCAAATTACCCAAACGGGCTGGTTTGGGCCCCAAATTGCCCAAACGGGCTGGTTTGGGTCCCAAATTTCCCAGTGTGAGCCGGGCTGATGGATGGGCCCGGGAGCTGCCCCAGGAGCCGATTGATCAGCCCCGCACGCAGGAAAATGAGAGTGAAGGGGAAAAAAGAGGAAAACAGGAGAGATTCCTGTCCCTGCTAGTGATAAATGCTCCCAGCACACGGCAGGGAGGGCAATCCACCTTTCTCCTCTGCTGAACTCGGGAGAAATCAATTCCTGCTGCAGTTTGTGCCCAAATCTCCCCTGAACGTGTCCTGTCTGTCTGCTGCTCCCTCTGCCAGCTCCCACCTCCAGCACAATCGCTGTTCTGAGGGACCAGGGGCTAAAGGAACAATGACAGTGACAGAGGTGCCACCACCCTGGGAACGCTGTGGGGACACGCTGCTCTGTGTGGACAGCTGGAATTCTTCTGTTGGGGAGAATTCACGGGGAATTCCTTCCTGGAAGGAGCTGCCCAGGGAGGTTTGGAGCGCCCATCCCTGGAGGTGCCCAAGGAAGGGCTGGGGTGGCACTCAGAGCTCTGGGCTGGGGACAAGGTGGGGTCCCTGGGGTCCCCAGGGGGGCCGAGGGACAGAGCCGGACCTGTGGCACACGGGGGCTCTGGGGAGGGAGCCGAGCCTGTGCCACCAGGTCCCCCAGTCCCACATTGTGCCACCAGGTCCCCCAGGTCCCACATTGTGCCACCAGGTCCCCGAGGTGCCACATTGTGCCACCAGGTCCCTGAGGTGCCACATTGTGCCACCAGGTCCCCGAGGTGCCCCACTCTGCCACCAGGTCCCCGAGGTCCCACATTGTGCCACCAGGTCCCACATTGTGCCACCAGGTCCCCGAGGTGCCACATTGTGCCACCAGGTCCCCCAGGTCCCACATTGTGCCACCAGGTCCCACATTGTGCCACCAGGTCCCCGAGGTGCCACATTGTGCCACCAGGTCCCCCAGGTCCCACATTGTGCCACCAGGACCCCCAGGTGCCCCACTCTGCCACCAGGTCTCCCAGGTCCCACATTGTGCCACCAGGACCCCCAGGTCCCACATCGTGCCACCAGGTCCCCGAGGTCCCACATTGTGCCACATTGTGCCACCAGGTCCCCCAGGTGCCACATTGTGCCACCAGGTCCCACATTGTGCCACCAGGTCCCCGAGGTGCCACATTGTGCCACCAGGTCCCCGAGGTCCCACATTGTGCCACCAGGTCCCCAAGGTGCCACATTGTGCCACCAGGTCCCACATTGTGCCACCAGGTCCCCGAGGTCCTACATTGTGCCACCAGGTCCCCAAGGTGCCCCACTCTGCCACCAGGTCCCCGAGGTGCCACATTGTGCCACCAGGTCCCCGAGGTGCCCCACTCTGCCACCAGGTCCCCGAGGTGCCACATTGTGCCACCAGGTCCCCAAGGTGCCCCACTCTGCCACCAGGTCCTCGAGGTGCCACATTGTGCCACCAGGTCCCCCAGGTCCCACATTGTGCCACCAGGTCCTCGAGGTGCCCAACTCTGCCACCAGGTCCCCGAGGTCCCACATTGTGCCACCAGGTCCCCGAGGTGCCACATTGTACCACCAGGTCCCACATTGTGCCACCAGGTCCCCGAGGTGCCCCACTCTGCCACCAGGTCCCCCACTCTGCCACCAGGTCCCCGAGGTCCCACATTGTGCCACCAGGTCCCCCAGGTCCCACATTGTGCCACCTTGTGCCACCAGGTCCCCAGGGGCACAGGTGGCACCCACATTTCCTGGGAGGGGTGCTGGGAACGCTGGGGTGCCTTGGGGTGCCTTTGGAATCCGTTTTTTCCTCCATGTGGCTCCAAGGATTCTCTCTGGAGCTGCTGGAGAAGAGGAGGAGGAGGAGGAGGAGGAGGAGGAGGAGGAGGAAGGAGCAGGGTCCCCACTGACCTCACAAACCCCACAGCAAGGGGGGCACCCCCAAACCACGAGGTTCGACAACTCCCCCTCGCTCCGATCCTTTCACGGCGCTTCCCGAGCAGAATGTGAAGGATTTTTTAATCGAAATCTGGCAGTCGGAGGGTGAATTAAGGCCGTTAATTGAATTTCCTCCGGCGGCAGAGCCGGGCCGGGGGGAGGCGGCAGGAAACGCATTTGATGTCTTAGAAAAGCTGCGGATTCCCAACGTGGTGGGGTTTGGGTTGGGATTTTTTAATTTTTTTTTTTTTTTTTAATTTAAAGTCGGTCGTAAAAAGAGCCTGACTTTGAGGAGCTAACGACTCTCATGAATTATTTTTGTTGATTTAGGCAGCCACTCGGCTTTAAATATTATTAATAAAAGAAAAGTGCTGCCTTTCCCTGGAGAATGACGCTGCCCTGGGGGTGCAGGGGAGGGGGTGCAGGCACCAGCCCCTTCTCCTGCTGCCACTCGAGGCCAAGCTGCGTTTGGGGACACAAATGGGTGGGTTGTGGATGGACAGGAGCCGGCTGGAATGTCCCATCCGGAGGGACAATGGCTCAGAGCGCTGATGGCCATCAGGGACCAGCGGTGGCCCTCAGGGTCCTCAGTGGGGCCGGGGCTACTTCACATCTTCATTAATGACACAAATGAAGGGATCAGGAAGTCACGGAATGGTTTGGGTGGGAAAAGACCCAAACTCATCTCATTCCACCCCCTGACACCTCCCACTACCCCAGGCTGCTCCAAAACATCCAACCCCGGGGATGGGGCAGCGGCTGGAACGGGGTGAGCCTTAATGTCCCTCCCAACCCGAATCATTCCGTGATCCCACAAAATCCCGGGAATTTTGGGGTGCCCTGGACGCTGCCTCAGCCCCCCTCGGCGTCAGCATTCAGCCCCGGTGCCAGAACGGCGCTTTTCGCTCCACTTTAGTTTTATTGTTCTGCCAAAAGCTTTAATTCGGGGCTGTCGTCCTCCCGCGCCGCTGATTTACGCTGCCAGGGGTTTAATTACACCATTCAGCATTTCTTAAAACATGAAAAACCGCTCGAGTTTGGGAGCAATTAAAAGGCAGCGGAGTAGATCAGCCCATCAGAGAGGAGATAAGTAAATCAAACAATTAAAAAGCTGCTTTGGCGGCGAGGGAGAAGGGTCCCAGCCCAAACCCATCCCCGGCTGGGAGCCCTGGGCTGGCAGCTGCGGGTTCACCCCAGTAAAGGGGTTGGGGTGATACTGGGAGCTCCTGGGGGGTGTGACACATTGGGAGCATCCCAGCACCCCAAAAGCCGGGCCAGCCGCACCCGGGGCTGGGCAGGAGGGGACGGGGATGGGGACGGGGACAGGACGGGGATGGGGACAAGGACAGTGACAGGACGGGGATGGGGACGGGGATGGGGACAGTGACGGGGATGGGGACAGGACGGGGATGGGGACTGGGACAGGATGGGGATGGGGACGGTGACAGTGACAGGACGGGGATGGGGACGGGGATGGGGACAGTGACAGGACGGGGATGGGGACAGGGAGAGGACGGGGACGGGGACGGTGACAGGACGGGGACGGGGACAGTGACAGGACGGGGATGGGGACAGGGACAGGGCGGGGATGGGGACAAGGACAGGGCGGGGATGGGGACAAGGACAGGACGGGGATGGGGACGGGGATGGGGACAGTGACAGGACAGGGATGGGGACGGGGACAGCGACAGGACGGGGATGGGGACAGTGACGGGATGGGGATGGGGACGGGGATGGGGACGGGGATGGGGACGGGGATGGGGACGGGGATGGGGACGGTGACAGGACGGGGATGGGGACGGTGACACGACGGGGATGGGGACGGTGACACGACGGGGATGGGGACGGGGATGGGGACAGTGACAGGACGGGGACAGGACGAGGATGGGGACGGGGATGGGGACGGTGACAGGACAGGGACGGGGATGGGGACAGTGACAGGACGGGGATGGGGACAGGGATGGGGACAGGGACAGGACGGGGATGGGGACAGTGACAGGACGGGCTTCTCGCTCCTCGCCACCATCCCCGGGGGTTGTGCCCGGCGTTTTGGGGCGGTTTGCGCGGTTTTGGGGCTTTCTGCGGGATCGAAGCTCTCTCTTGTGGCAGAACCGGTCCATTGCAGCCCTGCC